TTGTTTTCTCTTGCATACAGTCTTTCTTTAGAAAGAAGTGCTCTGATTTTCACCAAAAACCAAAAAGTGGTACTCTATGGAAGGAATAAAACTTCTGCTCTTCTGTTGTACTCTCTAATTGCACATTAGTGTTTGCAAAAAAATTAATCTGGGGAGTAAGAAGCATAATTTTCTTACTGCAATAAGACATATGTGTTTTCTGTCCTAAGGAGGGTAGAGATGTAGATAGGTTCTCTTCTTTGAAAGGAGAGCAAAAATCTAATCAGAAAATATTTTATGATTTATTCATAAAATGTTTCTACTTGACCTTTTTGTACTGCATAGTTTCTGAAGAATTCTGCTGTCATTTTTTAGCAGACTTGGTCATTATTGTTTCCTGCACTTAAGAAAAAATAAGTCTATTAATTACCACTTACATTAGGCATATTGAGATACCATCCAGGTTGATTTGATCAACACGCCCTTTAGAAGTGACTTTACACTGACATTGACTTTACAGTGGATGAATTACTGTTTAGGTCCATATCTTTCCTGAAGCTCACTAAAAGAAATTTCAACTGGCAACTCTCCCAGGAAATAATTTTTAAAAATCCAATTACAAGTGTTTATCCCCACCTTCTAAAGTACCTAATTTATATTTGCAACGCTATTGGAGGGTTATGAATTACGAGTTTATGACCAGTGCTTCTATCACCTCCTTTCAGCTATTTTCTGAACAATTAGTTCCCCCAAGTGGCTGCATCACTGCAGCCTTGCTTTGCAAGTCTTAGGGGATTGTGTCCTCTATGGAACAGAATGACTGGACAAAACCAAAACCAAAAACAATAACCACCAGATTTGCATTATTCTCCATTGCAGTCTCTCAGGGCAGCATGGTTTCTAGATAATGCCCACTTGAAAGTTGACATATTTGGTTGCTGAAACTAGCAGAGGCATATAGAAGCTGAAACACAGTCTTTGATGATGTATCAAACAATGTCTCTTAGACAGAAGTTTCAGGCTTAAATAGAAATTAAATTTAATAGCGATTTGTGTGGTCGCAGAGGCCAGACACCATCTTGAGCCCATAGATTTATCTACATAAACCTCATTCCTAAGTTCTCTTAGTGCCATAGTGGGAAAAGTCTGTGTGTGATTTCAGCTGTAAAGGTGGAAAAAGTTATTAGTAATTACAGATGCTTTATGTCTAGCTCTCTTTATGTCAGTTTTCTCGATATGAAAATATTTTGATCTGCTTAAGACCTATTAATTTTGTTGACCTTAATAAGAAATGAGTAGCTTATAACTTGAAAGACTTTCCCTTCAAAAAAATTGGAAAGCTTTTAAAGTTCACGAACACTGCATGAGAGGTGTTAAGAGAACATGTAGATCTGCTAATAAATGTATTCTAAATCCATAGCAAAAGTGTCTAAAAATCTCTTATGTATATATGTTCTGTCTCTTAGGAAGGACTTTAAAGACTTTCTTCCTTTATACAGTAGCACAAAAAAGGCTTTTTTAATAGGAGGTTGCGTTAAGCCTTGCATTGCCCACATTTTATATAGGATGTTATTTTTGAATATTGATTTACCTGTGTGGCTAATACATCTGATGTTACAACTCAAAAAGGTTACCTCAAAGCTGTTGGCCACTTGTTAGTCCCTATAGAAGTGGTATTTCATACATATTTTAAAAGTTACTTGCATCGGGACAGTGCAGAGATCTATGAAATCTAAATCTATTAGAAATCAAAAATTACCTCCTTGTGTATTATTGTTGCTAATGCTGATAATGTAGTGACTAAATGCATTGATATCTTGATGTATTAACTTTCTTTTAACAAGTCTCCTTTTGTATGGGTATTGTTTTATGTTGCACTTTTCTCTGAGGGCAGAGATACTGAAACCAAGATGCTGGTGAGATTGATTGGCAGATCATAGTAAAAATTGCTTTCTTGTATCTAGTCTGAATCTGCCTTCTTTTAGTTTAAAACCACTGTACTTTGTCCTGTTTCTACAGGCACAGTAAGAAAGTCTGTCACTGTCTTGTCTTAAGCCCCCTTCAAGTACTAAAAAGCCACAATAAGGTCTTTTGGAGCTTCCTCCAGGCTAAACAACCCCACCTCTCTCAGCCTTTCCTCATAGAAGAGGTGTTCCATCCTTCTAATGATTTTTGTGACCCTCTTCTGAGCCTGCTCCAACAGGTCCATGTGTTTCATGTGCCGAGGACCCCAGAGCAGGATACATGTGGGGTCTCACAAGAGCGGAGTAGAGGGAAAGAATCCCCCTCGACCTCCTGCCCATACTGCTTTTGATGTGGCCCAGGACACGATGGGCTTTCTGGACTGCGAGTGCTCATTACCAGCTCATACTCAGTTTTGCATCCACAAGTACCCCCAAGGTCTCGGCAGAGCTACTTTGAATCACTTTATCCCCCAGCCTGTATTGATGCCAGGGACTGTCCTGATCATGTGCAGGAACTCATGAGATTCCTGTGGGCCACCTTATTGATCTTGTTTGGGTCCCTCAGGCATCCCCTCCTTCAGATGTGTCAACTGCACTGCTCAGCTTGGTTTTGCCTGCAAACTTGCTGAGGGTGCACTCAATCCAATCCCATTGTCTCTGTCATTGATGAAGATATTAAACAGCACGGGTCCCAGTACAGACCCCTAAGGGACACCACTTATCCCTGATCTCCATAGGGACATTGAGCTGTTCATCACTACCCTCTGGCTGCAACCGGCCAGCCCCTTCCTTATCCATTCCATAGACCATCTATCAAATCTGTACTTCTCCAAATCAGAGAACAGGATGTTGAGGAGGAACATATTAAAGACCTCACAGAAGTCTAGATAGATGACAGCACAATAATGAAGCAACTGCTATGTATACTTTCAAACAACAGAGAAAAGCAATTCTGGAAATTGGTAAAGTGGTGTAATCTTTTTTTTCATAAATTGTGTTAGATCTGTGCAAACTTTGGCTTATGTCATTATATGATCAATAGTGCATTAAGGATGTTTCTAGCAAAACCAGAAGACTGAATTAGGCAGGAAACTGAAGAATGTCCCTAAATGATCCTTGTGGGTCCCTTCCAACTTGGCGTGATTCTGTGATTCTGTGAAATATGAACTATGTACCCATGGTTGTGGATTACTGTATGACTTATCTCTGCAAGGTGACAGTTTATGCCAAAAATAGTTTTAGCTTATTCCCACACTAAAAAAATGTCACTAGAAATTTTAATGTTGAACATCTGCTTCAATGGAGTCCAGTTAATGTAAAAAAAAATTTTTTATTGTGTACCTTTGTTATTGTAATGTGTTATTCTGCTAAGAGGAGTCTTTTGGAGACCATTTAAGGAATCCAGGAAGCATCCCACTGCTCACAGAGTTTCTTGAAATGCACTATAATCCTAATCCCTCAAGATAATAAACTTGCAGAGACCGTAAAATAGAGAAGACCTTTCTAAATTATAAAATACTTAGTGCACAACTAGCAAATCGCATTTATGCTCAAATCAGAATTAATTATCTATAGCTTCAAAGAGGTCTAATATTCCCGTCTAGAATTTTAACACTGATCTTGTTCCTCCTGTAGTTTACAAGAATAAATTTTCTAAGTGTATTTGCACATTCTATAGCTTAGTGTTTGTGTGAATAATGTACTGTGATTTTCCAGTCTCACATTAGAGTACTGTTATATTGTTTATTTTTCTAAACTAGTTTAAATTGCACAAAAGCGCTCTTATGCAAACATAATTATATTACTCTTTGAAAAATCAAGTACTAAAAAGGTAAGAAATGTGATTCTCCCTTTGGCTTGAATGCTTTTCCTTTCCAAATCACATGTAATAGTAATGTTGGTTGCCTGTCTTAAGTCTGTGTGTAATTCCCATATCCCACCCTGACTCTTTGGCCTGGACACTTTTCAGTTCTCATTTCTAGTCCTCTTGTCCTTTTTCTGCTTGCCCTGTGTATATCCGTGTTTCTCTTCCACACTGTCAGTTCTGCAGTTCAGAGATAAGGAGAGGCCATTTCCTTGTTCCAGGTTGGGTGTTTGGACCTAAAGCTATAGCTCAGGGAAAATCCAGCCCAGCTTGAAGCAGAGGCACATTCAATAGAATGTAATCATTGGAAAAATTAGCTGCTTAAAGTATCTATTGAACACGTGCCCAGAGCTTACAACTTTGCCAAATGTTGGCAGCTTTTCACAGACCAGAGGGACATTGCTGTGTCACATATCAAGGTCTTTACCTAATGTACAGTTATGTTACTAGATTCTTTTTTTAATTTATTTTTTTTTTAAAGGCAGACATACGTGGCAATGACTGGCATTTCCTGTTGAAATTAATTTTAGAAAATTATCTGATGCAAATACCCGGAACAGAGCATTCCACCCAAGTAGTTATTATTAGAAAAGGTAGAAACAACTGCAAATTAATTGCTGTAATGTATGGAGTTGGACATTCATGGTTTATAGGCTTTATTACCAATCTTATTTTGTATAGGTGTGTGGCAAAACTAGTTTTGAACATAGAAGGCCAAATTCTGTTTTCTAGAATATCTGCAGTTTCATTGATTTATATGGAATTATGGCAATTAGCATAGAAATTATTTATGGCAAAGTAAATTAGTATAGAATTTAACTGCTGTATTTAAAACCCTCACTAAAGCTACTGAACCTTCACTTTTCTGAGCTTTTTATTTTGCTGCTGTTGACTGTCTGCCATGACACTGAAACTAAACCATCCCATCTGTTTGCCACGTTAACCAGCTTTACTCAGTTATTAAGCTATCACCTTGTATTTGGCATGTAATATATTGGATTTTAGAACATATTTTGAGGAGAGAAAAATGGCAAAGAGCAAGAAGCAGTAGCTTTTCTAATGCATTAACTGGAAGTTAATGTTTTATATTGTCATTTTATATTGTCTTTTTCTGGGGTTTGTTGGTTTTGGGGGTTGTTTGGTTCTTTTTTTTTGTCCTGGAATCTATTTATAACTGACTGAAGCACTTTTGCAGGTGGTGGTTTTTTGCATGCTAATCCTGCAGAGAAACATTGTGTCCAACAAAGTATGCTGGGTCAGCAAAAGCAAGAAACTTGTGCTGGAAAGACAGTATCCACAGGTATTTAGCGTGTATGGAGATTTGGCAAAATGAATGATTAACTGTCATTGGCAGAAAAAGATCTAGTGTTGTCTGTTAGAAAGTTGTGAATTTTTTTCTTTCCCATAGAGCAGATTCTTCCTTTCAAAGTCAGGAAAAGACTCAGCAATATAAATGTGCATTTAATAAAATATTTCAATAACCTTCTTTATCTATATTTTGTCTTTTCCTTTAAAACAAGGTGATCTTTTTGTGTGTTATTTGCCTTCCATTTGTCAATTCATACACAAATTAAATGCATACCTGCACAACTGAGGTGGACCTACAAGGATTATTAAAAAAAATTAACACTGTTACCCAGTGGTTTGTGGCATTTTGGTGGTTATGTTTAAAATAGACCAGACAGTGGTGAAAATTAAATTTCTTCTGATGCTTTCTAGAGTGTCTGAGTTCAGCAATGTTACGTGCTTTACAGAGAAAACAAACTGAAGAAAGGACAGAAATAAGGCAGATCAGACTGGAGTAGACTAGACTTGGATTACTTAGGAAGGAAGGGGAACCACTGAGGAAGAGCAGCCCCATGGAAGACTCCCTTTCCTCTGGCAGACCCTTCCCAGCATGGCTACATCAGAAAATTGGATGCGTCATTGATTTTTCTATTGGTGTGTCACTGTCCACTCCTATACAAGTTTAATGTTATTTAGAAGGGATGAAAGGTTATGACATGCTGCAAGTTTCTGAGTGATTTGATACTTGCAGGTCCTATCATAGTAACCATTAATCTTTTAACAGAGACTTTTAAAGTAAATGGGTTGAATTGCATTTGATTTAGCCTTGTGCTTAATTATTTAAAAGTGTGTACCTGTTGCCCCAAATCCACACCCGTCTGAAAGACTGAGGACACAGCAATTAAAAATAAACTTCATGTCCTTCAGATATTAATGCTAATCTTTTCATTCTAGAGAAAGTATAAAAATCATTGCCTTTCAGTGAAGGACCTGTAGAATGACTTGAAGAAAGAATCTTGTCCAAAACCAAAGGCCATCTTCACAAATGCCATTGCAGAGCCTCCCTTAACTGAAACTTCCCCTTCTTAGGTGCATGACGCCATGGGATTGCATAGGCACAAAGGCCTTTCCTCAGATCACAGCTGTCAAGTCAAAGTGAGTCCTTTGAATCAGAGACAGAAAAACTTTGGGAGAAGTGGAATGTCCCTGAAAAATGCATATGAAGTTTCCAAGCAGCCTTTCCACTAGCCAGACAGCCAGAGCATATCCAAGTCCTCCAGTGTGGTGAAGACATGAATTACTGTAGGGCTGTCTTTGTGCAAAGGAAATTGTTGAAACTTTTCACCAGCTGTAAATGGCAAGCATAATTTTGGTCGCTGATGATACTTGCACGCTCTGGGTGGGGTCAGTAGAACCTTCAGTCTGAATTAACTGGCTACTTTGTCACGATCCAAGATGTTAAATAGTCTTCCACCAGTTCTTCCAATTAGCTTTCCCAGTCTGCTCGCAAAATCTTAAACAAGTCTGAAGGATATCCTACAGCTAGTCTGCATCTAGCCCTTCCCTATATTTAGGCACTGGCTAAGCAGCTTAACTACAGTAGCTGTGTTGGATGAGAGGGAAATGAACTCAAAGAGTTGAGTATCCTTTGCTTACTCAGAGCACTGTGATGAATATTCTGCACTAAACTGTCTAATGTAAACTTTGGGGGGGAAAAAAAAAGTTATATTGAAGGCTGATACCAAACAGCTTGCCTGGAATATGTCTTGTGATAAAACTACACCAGTTGGAAAAAAGGTGTATAAAAACCCCTTCTCAAACAGTTACGTTGATGCTTAGTATTGTGTTAGCTGCATAAGAAGGATATTGATCTAAACAGACCTTGTTTTAAAGAGTATTTTGTGGTTGATATTCATGAAGGTCTTGGCTTCTAAAGCATTAGTTTCTTGTGGAATACTGAGAAAATATGTGGAGATACTCTCTTTATAGAAAAGTGATTCTACTGATTAATTTTACAGTAAGCAAGTCAATGCATTTGAGAAACATGTGGTTCTTTTTAAAGCTAGTGCCGTGCATTATTTCTACAAATATTTCCTCCTAACCTCAAATTAACCTTTATTTTGTGGTGCTTTGACTGCCTTTGGGCACCTTTGTAGAAGTGGCATGTCCAGAACAAAACATCTGCCTTTTCCTGTTACCATTGGCTGGGGAGCAGATGCCCTGTAACATCGAGTAGCACAGGTGTGCTGGCCTTCCTAAAAATTTTATGTAAATCAATGAATGAAATTTTGAAATACAAAGAGAGGGGAACAAACCAAATGGGAGAGAGAATGGAAACAGCTTCATGTTGAATATAGTGGCAAGCTGAATAGCTGCTGGTTTGGAGAAAGTCTTTATTATAAGCGTATGGCAAGCATAATCTGGAAAAATAAGAGCTGACTCTGTCCCTAAAAGGAAAGGACATTTGTTCTGTCATCTGCTGTATTTGAGCTATACTATTTGACCTGTAACTACCATTGAAGTTCAGGGCTAGTTTGGTTAGTGATTGCAATAGTTTACATCATTTTATTGTTCTTCTCAGAGGTTCTTAAAAGTGTTTACTCAAAAGCAGCAACAAGAAGATACCCTGCAGGAATCAAATAATCATCTGAATAGTAATAGCAATCTTAGCAGCTGAAGATGTAAAGTTTTCTATATACTTAGTGACTGTAGATTGTAAAAAAAAAAAAAAAAAGGAGAATAAAAAGAGCTGTGGGGAAACAACTTTAACTGTGCCATGTTTCATTTTTTTCCAGGTTTCACAAACTCTGTAGGCCTGGACTTATCCCTGTGTACAGGGATCTCTATATTTGTGTAGGATTTCCATAGGTACAGTAACCCAGTCTGCACAGAATGTCTAGAAATATAGAATATCTCTACAGACATTGAGCAGAAAGTTTTGGTGGTGCCCAGTAGTTTCACTTAATTGGAGGATAAAGAAGGTACATAATGGACTTGGGGTTTGATGCTGTAGATGGCAATAAAAGGATCAAAGGCTTATGCCCTGCGTAGTTATTGCTCTATGAATCTGCTGTGGATGGAAGAGTTTTGATAAGCATCAGACCTACTGTGTATGAACTATACAGTTTATATTTGATTGTTCAGTGAATCCTCTGTGTCCTGAAGGCAGTGGATTTACTGCACATGTGCATACCATGAGCATGCATGTATATCTGTCCAGGAGTTCTGGTGATGAAACAGGATATGTCTGTAACTTTCAGTGCATGTTGCAAAGTGTGTGATGTCTGAGAAGAGCATCCAGGGTTAAGATAATAAACTTTCTGGAGTTGCCAGTGTTTTTTAGTAATTCACAGTTACCTTTTTAAGTCCAGAACCATATATAAATGCATTTTTAATACAAGTCTTTAAAATGGCAGGGAATAGAAATTTTCCTATGGAATTACCTTACTGCAATATTACAAGGTTCCAGCATTTACTTTTATGTATTCTATTCTAATGTGATTCCTCCCTCAAAGTGATTTTTTGCCTTCCCAAGGTGCCTTACTGCTTGGGATCTTTGTAGCTGAATTTTCAATGGTCAAGATTGTTGGGATCTTTCAAGAAAATGTTTGAATAACTTACTACAGTAGTTCTATTAAGCATTAATGGCACATAAGCAATATTTGTGATTGGATATTTAACAATAGTACATCTTCTTTCAAGTCTTCTTTGATTTTATTATATATTATTTACGTGGTTTATAGCAGTTATTTTTTAAGGCTTCATCAGGCAAACTGTGGTCTTTATCTGATAAAACCCACAAATTCTAAACATTACAGAAATTTTGAAAGATAGCATGATTCTGTTTGAGAGATATGAACAGAGTAGGTGCTCAGAAAAGTTCTGTGTCCTGTCCCTGTTCTTCCAACTGAATATTGCCAGCATGCTAGTCCATCTTTTCCAGGGCTGAAGAGGCTTATGGGGGTATTTGTTCTGAAATGCCATGTAGCTTCTAACCTAGAGTGAAACATCCATTTAAGAGGTTTTTTTTTTTGCATATCTGTGTTCAAGCACATTACTTCAGGCAATGCTTTTGTTTTGTCCACGAAACTTTTTCAATAATAAATTTAACATGGTGGCCTTTTAAATGCCAAAATATTTTTAGTAAGTTTGTGTCTAATAGTATCCTTTGTAAGCAGTTTTAGTTTTGAGACAGTAATTTTTTAAAAAGAAATACTATATTTCATATTACAGCTTTGTTGTGTTGTTTTTACAGATAAACACAAACCCCCTTCGGATATAATACAAAGTTTTCAGAAGAAAAGTCAGTTTAGGACCATTGCTCCAAAAATGGTACCAAAAATTTTAACACCTGGAGTGGTTTCTTGTCTTCAGTCTTCTTTGCCTGAGCCAAACACACCGATTTCAGCTGCAGGTTCTAAACCACTGGTGGTACCAGCTCAGAACTACACTGTCATGCAGGTGGCTGGTCAGAAGGGGACATTTTCCCTGCTGGCTGTGCCGTATGTTGCTCCTGCTTTAACACAGCAAACCCAGCAGTCAAATGTGGCCCCCTCTGAAAACCTAAAGCTGCCTATCCCTAGGTACCAGTCTGTAAGGAATAAATTGCTAGGTGACAAAAAATTGACGAAAATCTCTGGTTTGGGTGCACATAAGAAGATTCCTACGAAAGCATTGGTCCCATCACAGACTTCCCCTGTGACTACTGTAACTGAAGTCTGTCCTGAAACTCACTCTAGTTCAGATTCAACTGAGCAAGCAATGCTGACAGACTGTGACTCATCTGAAATTGCAGTTGCCACAGTAGTAAATAAAAGCAACTGTGTGGAATCTGGACCTCCTTTAATGAACAAAACTGAAATTGCTAACAATAAGATTTCTGTACCGTCTGTAGTTAAAGACTCTTTATCCAAACCATCAAGTACAATTAATCCCCCGAAACTAAGTCTGCGCTCTGTGAAGACAGCATCGGAAACCACAAGAAAGTCAGTCATGACATGTGAGAAACGAAAGGAAAAACCCACAAATTCTGCAAATCCTGTTGCTGTCTTGTCACCAGCAGTTCTTGGCAGCACAATACAGATGAATCCATCAGCACCAAAAGGAAAACTTCCTATTTTGCCTTACTCAAGGATGAAAAATTCACTATTTTGTAAATCTAAGCAGAATATGAATGCTATGGATGTATCTGGTCCTTCACTAAGATCTGAATGTGAAAAGACACCAGCTTTGACAAAAACCAAAGCATTTGATAAGCAATTAGCTGTATCATCTACACAAGTCCCCAAACAAACTGTTCGAGAAAACACCTTCTCTCCATCCAGTGAAGTGGATGTCGACAGTCTTAAAAAATTGAACAGTGCAGCCTCTAAAAAAAGAGGCAGGAAAAGAAGAGCCTCGGATGATTTATTGGCTTTTCAGACCAAGCGAAGGAAATGCATCATTAATAAGTTTAGAGAAGGAAGAGAGAGGGAGAAGGTTGATATTCAGACACCTGAAGACAAAAAAGCAGAAGCAGTGAAAAAATACCGTAGTATTAGACCGAAGCCGGTGGTAGTTGTGCAGACCTTCACACCACTGACTTCTCCAGCAACAGTAGAGACACCACCTCGTGTCCATTCAGAGCAAGCTGTTCCTTTAAATGGTTCACTTGCCAGCAAATATTTGAGTTACAAGCAAAGTGATGCTACATCAGCTAAACCAAGTGATTCAAGTAGAAATGCGTGTTCAATCACACCTAAGCCACTGCACAGATGTCCTGTTTGTAACCATACCTTCCAGTTCAAGCACCATCTCCAGGACCACATGAACTCACACACGAAGAAACGGCCCTACAGCTGTCGGATTTGCCGGAAAGCGTATATCCATTCTGGGAGGCTCAGCACGCATATGAAGCTTCATCACAATGAAAGCAAACCCAAAAAGCTGGTGTGCTGTGAATTCTGTGCTAAAGTTTTTGGCCATGCAAAAGTGTATTTTGGCCACCTCAGAGAAGTCCACAGGGTTGTTATCAGCACTGAACCCTCTCCTAGCGAGCAACAGATGCAAGATGCTTTAAAGAAGAGAGACACGAATATAAAAGAGACAGAAGAAGCTACAGAGAGGTGAGCGTTTTCACTAATTAAATGCTAGTGGAAACAGGATTTCAAGTTGTCAGTGGAAATTCATAAACATCACCATTAGGAAAATTGTTACTTCCCCTCCTGCCAAGTGAGATTCCTAATGGTTTAAATATTGTCCTTGAATCTAGTCAATCCATTAGACCATCCAGTATATTTTAGCTGATTTATTGACTATAAATCATTACTGACACTTGAAAATCCAAAGTAATTTTGCATATATTCGAGTAATATTGCCATTGGAGCTGTTTGGATCAGTTGGTTAATACTCTGTTAATCTGCACTGTCTTCTGTCCTGCCTGTTTCGGGGGTTTCCCTAAAAGACAAGTGAACCAACTGCAGTAAGCAAGAAGTGATTCATATTTCATTATTAGCTTATAGTTTGTTTTCCCTGTTAAATGTCATTATCCCATTTCCTTCTATGGAGTGTTGTGGGCTAATCCATCTTGTGTGTTGATTACTGCTGTTTTTGCCATCGCTCAACCAAGTAGAAAAGTTAATATTTACCATATTAGGATGGATAGAACCTTCTTTTACCACTGCATTGTGATTTTGGGGTGAAATTTCTTGACACAATATAAATGTTGGCTTTTTTGTTTGTTCCACTGTGCATTTACTTTAACCGAAGAACATTCAGGCCTTTAATGTGACTCCTCACTGCAACACTACATTTTAATTTTACTCGTTTTACTTTGTGTAGCTTCACTCTCTGGGGCATCAGTTAAAAATTTTTAATATCTTGAGCCTAAGAAACACCAGCACTTTTCTGTCAGTCTTACTAGTCATCACAAAGTGACTAATTCAGTTTATCTGTTTTACTGGGTAATCTCTCTAATGTGTACAAATACAGTATTATCCTTTTCCTAGATGTTCTGAGAAGATTTCTGAGGAGATCTTGTTTTGATTGGCTTAGGTTACCAGGGACTGTGTATCCTTTATACTGCAGAGCTGTCCTGAGTCAGGGAGAGGGGCTGTCTAATTGTGAATTAGGTATTCAGAGTTTTCTAAACCATGTTACAGACTTTTAGAAAAAAAAAGCAAGAAACTTTGAAGTTTCATTGTTTCCATCTTGGAAAGGGAGGTGGGACATGTGGTTTTGCCTTAAATTGACCTTAGAACACTCACTGTAAACAAAGAAGTTTCTCTTAGTAGTACACTACAGGTAATAGTCATTTTCACTTTTCCAGCACAGCACTAGAAGTATTTGGATTGATCTCACTGAATCAGAACTTTAAAAACAGTTATCAACCTTTTATTAAAAGGCTAATGTTGTTAAAAGGTTATTTCTACCAAGGCAAATTTTGGAGGCAATTCTGAAACTCGGAAGTGTCAAATAACATTTGGTTTCAGTTGCTTCGTAAACAACCTTACTATTATTTTCTTTCTTTTTTTTCCCTCTCTTCCAAATGAATTAGATACTGTAAAGACAATGCTTATTTTTAATTAAAAGTGTTTTATGACTGTCATCTCTTCTTGGGACTTATGACAGAAATCGCCATCCCTCTTCTGTGCCTGGCTAATACTGAAATAGTTTGTATTTCCTTTCTTTTTAACAGGGGAAATAAGTGCAATCTCGAGGACCTATTTCATAACCCGGGAGGAGTGAAAATACAGGTCAAATGTGGCCGATGCCAGTTTATTGCACAGTCTTTTGGTGAAATGAAGTTCCACTTACTGTGCTGTCATGGAGAAGAGATTCAGGGAAGAGTAAAGGAAGGGGGTTTGCAAGGAAATAAAGGGGCGAAAGGGGAACTGATCAAACACACAACCCACTTCTGGAAACAGCACAATGAGAGAAGACATTTAGCAAAATGCAGTGCCCGTGAGGAGGAGCTTTATACTTTTCCAAAACTGAAAAGACAGATATACTTTCAACATCAAAATAATGTCAATAGTTTACCAAAAGGCGAAGTGACTCAGGCAAGAAGTGGTGAAACCACCAAGGAGATGCAAAATATGGGGTTTGGTACAGCAAGCAAGAAAATGGAATTTTGGTCTAAAGCAGGTTATAACTGCATTTTATGCAAACAGTTATTTGGAAAAAAAGAGGATCTTTTTAGTCATTGGCAGAGTCATCATAATTGTGAAGACCCTTCCACTTTATGGACAATTTTTAGTTTAGTATCAAAAGAAGGGATTAATGAATTTTCTAATAATGGTGAATATTGAAGCTCAATTCTGCAATGCTATGAACAACATCAACTACCTTAGCAAATTTTTTAAGTTTTTTCACTGTTTTGCTAAACTAACTCAACAGAAGTATCACTTCAAAGTTTTGTTGGGTGGGTTTGTTGGTTTTTTTCTAAAGTTATGCTAATCTTTATTTTGGTGAATAGAAAATATATTTATTCAGTGTCATTTCAGATGGGTACTTGGAAGCTGATTGTGAAACACTGTACTTAATATTTGTGTTTAAGGAACTTCATAGCAGCAAATACCCAATACTAATGGTTAACATCAAAGAAAAAGATTTTAGAGTTAAATTATACTGTACACACAGAAATAAATCAATTTATATGAAGCAATCTTAATCTTGAATGAAATGACAAAACCCACTGTAAGTGTAATTTCAGCCCCAATCGTGCTTCCAAATTTTGTGGTAAATACATATTTCCCTGCAGTTCTGTTGGTCACTTGTGCATACATGCAGCTGGCATCCAAGAGTTTTATGATCTGTAATTTCACAACTTTTCATTCTGGTTTCCTTGATTTCAGTGTCTTCAGCCATGTTTATTGCTTGCAGGCCTTTTTGTTGTTCAATTCCGTCCTGGAAATAGGAAAGCTTTTGTATTTTATAAATAAAAACTCTACATACATTTATTTGCCGGTAGCTTTTTGGGTTGAAGATGAATTATTTGCTGGCCATGAAGTTGAAGCTCTCCAGGCTGGACTACTTTATGAAAAAGAACAAGTTTGTTTTAAAAATAGTGATCTGAATTGGTTACTTGTGGGAAGTCTGACATTCTGCAATAGACTGCATGTCTCACAGTGGACTTTTAGTGTATTCCTTGCACCTCCAGTCACAGCAACACCACTGCCAACATTGTTAGCACTCTGCCTTTAACACTCTTGCTGTGTCACTTCTGTACCTCTACAGCTGACCCAGTCTCTGGCTCTAAAGGGAAATTGTTCCTTCACTTGTAAATCTGTGGCAACTTGTGTTGCCAGATTTGCTGTGCTGGAGGAACTGTGTGCAACACCTTAACCTTCCAATATCAGGAGCTGGTAACCATTCCCTTGCCAGGGAGCAAAGCTGTAGCAGCCTGTGGCAGAGGAGCAGTGCATCCTGTGATCCCTGGCAGCAGGGCAGGCAGGGGTAGGGACCATTGCAGCACATCTCCAAGGGGGCAAGTCTGGTCAGGCTGTAAGGGATGGAGTTCTGGAGCTCAGTTTTGATGAAAAGGTCATTGAAACCATTGAATCTAGTTTGAAATTGGTGTTTGAACTGCTGTTACTCAAAGCCTTATGTACCACTGAATTATTTTGGGAGTAATAAAGGAGACAGTCTAAGAAATCACTACATCACTGTTCAATGGAAGTCAGAGCACATTAGAGGGCAAGCTGAAAAATACACCAGTACTGTCCCTACAGTACTACTCTGTTCATCTCTGTGGTCAACCATAATTGAGGGTTTGCAATGATGAAAGAGTCATTCTTAAAATGTCCTGGGTTGCCTCTCACTGTTTTGCAAAAATTATGGTGATGAGAACATGAAAAGAGATCTAAAAATGTTGGACTTTCTGAATAGGATTCCAGAAGCTGTTGCAATACTTTGTGTATGTGTTTTGTTTTTAAACAAGAAAGGCAATTTTGATGAGCTAATAGTTTTGAATGCAATTTCTTGTTTCATGGTGCTTTGCCCTGGAGATGAACTATAGGGCAGGAACCAAGTATAATAAAAGACAGAAAGAAAATGCTCATAGAACTATACAGGTGCTTGGTAAGGTAGAAGAATCCCTGTGGATTCTCAAAACTTCCTTCCTACTCTGTGTTGTTTTAATACATATTTGTGCTGTTTCTTTGCTTTTGTATATTTGTTTTTTTGTGCTGAGTTACTGTAAAATACTACTTGTTCTTATTCTTGACACACCCATTTTCAATGCCTACAATATATTCATATTTATTTTCATGGGCACTTTTGGAAAGGAATAGTTAATTTTAAAGTCAGTGTTTGATATCAAACTGAAGCCATATTTAACTTAGTAGACTGTGTTGCATTTAGAAGCATTTTTTACCCCCCCAACTTTAAAATCAAATTGAAGTTAAATCCTTCAACTTTAAAAATCAAATAGCATGGTGTTTTCGCTGAAACAGAAATGTGAGAACAATGCCTCCTTCCCATGTAGCTATACTATATCAAAGGGAAGTTCATTCCCTCAACATGCATTTTAAGAGTTGGGAAAAAAAAACATTTAAAAGATTTGATCTTGTTCTTTATTTAGAATTAACATCAAATCACCTTTCTTGCATAATCACATGTCCCATGGTATAGTTTAAAATGAGCTGACATGAATGCAGTGCTGAGACAGAGTCCCTCCTGTTCAGGAACAGTACCAGTGATGGCACAGTTTCAAAAAGTATTTATTAAAAACAGTGGTGCATCAGAGCCAGTGATGTAGATGAGTTGTTTGGTCGTGGTCATCAGGCAAGAGGAGTCAGTGCCTTTCAGTGAGAAGGAGGTGCAGTGGGGAGGGGAGGAGAGGAAGGGCTTTGAGAAGAGGGAGTCAGTTGCATTTTTTTTAATAGAAATTTTCATGTACAGTTCTTTTCATCATGTTTTTGTGCTCCTTTCCCTTTCTTTAGTCCAGGCAAAATGGTAAAGGTCTCAGCTTTCAGCAGTTTAAAGCCTGAAAACATGTTTTAAAGCATGGTTCTAAGCCACTTCTCAGTGTCCTCATAAATGTTTAAAATTAGAAGCCTTTTTTCTGAGCCTGAAAGCATTCTTATGTTTCAGGCTATTACGACTACAGTAGATTATGAAAGGTTGGGATTTTTGAAAATAGCTTTGCATAAAATACAGATGTGTCCTTTGTTTAAGATGTGTTTGTTTTGCTTTTTTGTTCATTTTGATAACATTTGGAGGTAGGAAGTGAGCCTTTATAGACAGCAACATTAAGTAGTGTATGTTTGCTGTTCAGCAGAAGGGTTATTATGAATACAGTTTGCTGTTTACCTTGAAGCTGGACAAGTTAACATCTGGTTTTGCACATAAATTATGTTTTTAAATTGTTAAACCGAATGTTATTGTTTTTGTAGCTGTACTTTTGTTCCCCTCTGATTTTTCATTAAATCTCTGTTTCAGCTTCACTGTTTGACTTTAAAGCTGTTCCTCACATGGAAAGTTGTTCCTTCATCATCACACCATAAATAATCAAAGCTGGAGGAGTTCCATTGCTTTTCTGGCTTGCAGAGTATTGCCCTTCTCCAGCTGCAGAGCTACAGTTTCCTATGGCTAACTTGACATAGTTGCTGGCAGTAAATGTTTTACTTCATTTATTTATTTATTAGAATTCAAATATATGCTGTTTAACTCAATCAGAGTTTCTGTCATATCTCATTAGATACTTATTTTATCTACTATTCATGGAGCCCTTTAAAGAAAGTGTCATAAGAAGGATGAACAAGTACTTAAGGGAGCAGATTTCTACCCTGACTTTGTGCAGATGATAGTGATGTTTGAGAATCACCAGCTTATCTGGGCTCAGCCGCGTAGTATATTATATTTCTACAACACATCCACCTACATATGCATCTATTTTGGAACAAAATGTATACTTCAAATTCAGCTGTCAGTTATTATTACCAAACCTGTACAATGTAGGTTATTATGCATAAAGATTAAAATGCTATTAACTGTAGTAGGTTTACTTGTCAAATTCCTTATAGCTCTGAAAAATGAAAATCTCTGTGTGCTGAGTATGACACAGAAAAAATCTGGTTTCATGAAGAAGATTCGAATGGCTTAAAGGTTGTCCTCATTTCAGTGTGTGCTTTTACAGCTGATCTGTCACATTGCAGGATTTTCTCCACATTTTTTAAATTGCAATAATTTTCCTTGGTTAGGAATATGGAAGAAGACCTGAGTCTGCAAGCAGGTTTCCAGAAAAAATGTGTTCACTTCTTTTTTCTGTACAAGTAGACACATCCAGGAACTCAAAATAGTCTTGGTGGGCTTGGATGTATATGCACAATGTGGGGAAACATGCAAGGTTTGGGCTTTGGAGTGTGACTTCATGAGGCTGACTGTTCTGCAGTTCCAAAGTAGAAACTAGAAATGTGAGTGTAAAAATAACTTGGTTTTCAGAGTTGAGTGAATTCCTAATACCTTATTGACAAACTTTCAAGAAATCCTGAAAAATTAGAAGAGCATACTTCTCTACTTGTGCTGTGTTTGGCAATTTTTTGACGTAGTAGTACCAGAGGTGTTCTAAAATATGATATGGCTGGTGCTGTGGAGTACCAAGAAAGAGCTTTCTCTTTTTTGTTTTTGTTTGTTTGTTTTGGTTGTTGGTTTTTTGTTTGGTTTGGTTTGGTTTGGTTTTTTTTCTTCATTTTATTGGCTTTTCTGTGTAAGAATTAAAAATTATGAGATGAGTTATGATGAATTATGATTTCTGCTGCTGACAAGTCAAGAAACATTATTCTGAATTTACTTTGCAGAAACTTCCCATTTTAGTCTAGAATAACAGGTGAAATCAGTGAGAAGCAAATTCTATTGGAAAGAGATATGTGAGCAAACTATTCCATATCTGTATTTCTCTGCATATTTACACCACTGTAGATGAAGTCTGTAGATGATGGGTCTTCTACTGATATGTACAAACAATTTGTTCCTATCCAGAGTTACTTAGAGTGGCCAAGGAAAGTAAGAATTAAAAAAATATCCATATCTTCTCTTTGGCTTGAATTTTGTTAAATATTTCTGCTGTTATGCCATTACAGATTGTGTTCCAAGGCCTGTAGATACTCAAACACTTTCTAAGGGACTTACAGCATAATTCAATGGAGGAAAGGGGAAGAAATATGTGAGAAAAAGCAGTAATGATGGAGTTTGGCACAATTTACTGAATATACGTTTAAGCTTCAGTATGACTGGCGTTTGATGGAAGTGTCCTGGAGTCTTAAACTTCTCCCTTTCACCCCCCTCTGGTTACATTGTTCCAGATTCTGCTCTAATTTAAGGTATATCAGTTTGGAGCACCCTCAGCTTCTTTGGGAACGAGCTTTTCCAAATGGCATAGCTGATGTCCTCCTCTTTTGGTATCTCAGTTACTTGTAGTTAGGTGATCCACATGCTGGCTGCTGAGAGCAGGTGCTGCCAGACTTGAAATGTGGTCATTCAGTTTTCTGAGGAAAACATCTTTTAGCTTTAGTCTGAAAAAATTAAATCAAAAGCTGCATCTGTACTTAACAAAATAAGAAAATGGCTTACTCAGTTTCCTTCAGATGCAAAACTGATAAGTAGTAGGAAAAAAAAGTGAAGTGTTGGTATAAGAAAAAGCAGGTGTTAAAGGTGATTTGGCATATTTAGATACCGTTGTAAAAAACTAGAATGTTCCATCACCTAGTTAGAATCGAATAATAGAATCAGAGAAGTTCCATAAAAGTGTCTCATGCAGATGTGATGGTATAAAGCAGCAATTCAGAGACATTGTGACTGAGATTCCTCTCCCCTCGCTTCCCCTTCCCTCCCTTCCCCTTTTCTTTTTTTCCCCTCTTTTCCTTTTTCCCTTCCTAGCCACCCTACCTTTTCAGCACCCATTCTGACTGAATGCAATTTATAAATGTCTGGTTCAGCAAAGTCAGCATTGTGTCTGGCATCTTTGCTGTTATAGCCAAACCCAGGGACTGAGTAGTTGTGAACACCCTTTTGGAGAATGTTTCAGGAAAACACTGGTTGCAGGGGATCCCAGAGGTCAGCTGGAGCAGCCTCCTGCCCAAAGTAGGGCTTAGCAGCAGCCCAGGAGCAGAGCAGTGGTTTGGCTTTTTAGAAGCCATTTCTGTTGCTGTCCTGCTGGTCCATCGCCAGTGGGGGTCACGAGTGTAAACAAGGCTTCGGGATAGCAGCTGATACCTCAAGCACTGTCATAAGCAATTTTATGACTTTTGTAAAGCAAGCATGAAAATTGGGACCAAAAAAATCTCCCCAAACCCAAATAAAGTTACAGTTTCAGCTGGCAACCCTTCAGTAGTGAGAACGTCTCCTAGCACAGCCCCCAGTTCTGTTGCTGCAGACCATGGCCAAGCCTCTTCACCCGTGCAAAGCAGCTCATGCTGCTTTGGCTACTCTGTTTTTTCTGAGACTTCAGGCTCCCTGCCTTTCACATGCAGTGAATAGGCTCCTTTTTTTCTACAGCTGATTCAGGGCAAAAATAAGGCATTTTATTTCCTGAATGCTAAGTAATTTTGTGCAGCTTCAGGTTTAATCTGGCTTTTGAACATACACCTAATCAAGAAGATCAATACACCTTCCTATTGCTAGGAGCAGTGAGTGACACAGTGAGGGAGGAAAGCAATAAATATCCCCATGACCATACCTTTGAAGCAATGCAGTTGCTTGCCTTTCACTGGAGGTTTAATTTCTTCGTGTTTTTAGTTAAAAGCTTTTAATAACTTTAGCTGCACTAAGTACACTGCAATACTTTGCTATTCAAATAAATCCTTTTTCAGCTCTGAGTCCTTGGAGTTTGAATCCCATCCAGCCTTTTTCTGCTATCTGCCAATTCCTTCCTAAGTGCAAACCCAACATACTTGCCAATAAATCCACCTTTGTGCCATTTAAAGTCATCTGCTGGTTTTTTTTCTGGAGCTAATCAAAGTTTGCAAGAAGACATTATTTAAAGGGAACCAGCTCTAGGATTTAAGCCATTTAAATTGTGCAAGGTAATTAAAAGAAATTGCAGCTACCTATTAAATAGAGAATAGACTGTTAGAAAGTGCACTTATTTTTATTCTCTTTTATGAATATTTGGAGAGCAAGTTTTCCAGGGAAGAATTTGGGAGTTTATGCTGTTTTATGTGCTACTCTCTTAATCCACTTTTTAGACTCCCAAGCCCAGCCCGGCAGAGCCCAGCCCTGCTTCCTAAGTTGATTGCAGCCTGTTAAACTCAAAGCACCGTTTTATTTTTACTTTGTGAGACAACTGGGCTGATAAATAGATGGGATACTGGCACTCCAGGAGATAACCACAGTGTCTTCACAGGTTAATAGTCCCATGTCTTTCAAGAGCAGCATTTCCAGTGTCTTTATACAGGCATGCACGCACGATCACACACAAAATTATAAAAGGATTAAGTCTCTGGAACATTTTTAATTTTTATGTTAGTGTCTCACTGCACAGTTTATTCTAGTTATTTTTATTTTATTAAAATGCAGTAACAGTGTTGTTAGTATTGCTAATATATCTGTGGCTGATCTAAACCCTGAAATACACAGTGGTCACGCGAGTTCTTCCAGGAAATTGGATTAATTGTTTCATTGTTGGAATTTCTTTTAAAAAACATG